GACAGCCTTGGAGACCCTGTGGGGGAGTTGTACTCTGTTCTCTAGGGGCGCTGTAGATCAACTGGATGGCACCCAGTACAAACAGCAGCCACATCTTATCACCTCATGGAAATGCAGTGCTTGGTCTCCAGTGGATGAGGGCTTGAAGGTCCCTGACATGAAGCTGTCTTTCTGGGCCTGGCTCGCTGTGTGAAGGGGTGGGTGGCCAGAGGAGGCAGGCACAGGGTTGAAGCGGGTGCGTGCCATTGCAGGGAGAGACCATGGACAACTTCAACTGGGGCGTGCGCAGGCGCTCCCTGGACAGTCTGGACAAGTGTGACATGCAGCGGCTAGAGGAGCATCAGCTTTCCGGGAGCACCCCCAGCCTCCACAAGATGAACCCTGAGGATTCCGACGAGTCATCCGAGGAGGAGGGCCTCACCACCAGCCAGCTCCTGGAGCACTCGGACCTCGTAAGTGAGGACCCTCCCCACGAAGGCTCGCCCGTGGACAACTTTGTCCACCAACAGCAGGAGGGTCCTAACCCCAGAATCTCAAGTGCCAGGCGTGCTTCACTGCCTAAGTGGCTGGGTCTCTCTTGGCTGCAAATGTTAGCAAATGCTGAGGGGTGGGGTGGCGCAGGTACCTGTCGTAAACCCTGAGTGCCGTCAAGTCAGCCGAGGTCCTGGGTGTCCCAGCTAGCTTATTTTTCATTTTGTGGTGATGGTTGTTTTTACTCTTTATTGTGATTTGGGTGAGAGTTTACAGGGCCAACCGGTTTTCCAGTTAACAGTTCATATCCATTTTCCTATTAGCTTTTTATCTGTAGGCCTCTTCCTCCCATGCTCTCCAACATCTAGAGTTTCAGGAAATAGGACACTTAGACATAATTATTTGAAAACACAGGTAATCCATGTTTCAGGGTACTGCCTAGATTACCAGAGTGCCAACTGCTATGGTTAAGTTTCAATAATGGCAGCCTAACAAGGAGCTCCAGTGGTGCCCTGGTTGTGTGCTCAGCTGCTAACTGGAGGGTTGATGGTTCAAAACTACCAGCAGCTCTGCAAAAGAGAAACCTAGCAATTTGCTCCCTTAAAGATCACAGCCTAGAAAGCCCAGTGGGGCCATTTGACTCTGTCACGTGGCATCCCTGTGAGTCAGAATCGACTCAATGGCACCCAACCACCACAAAGAGGAAACAGGTCAGTTAAGGAATGAATGTCTGTCACCCAACCACTGGCAAACCATGGTGTGTACTCTCACGTAAAGAATAATTTGAGGTTTCAAGGGAGGAACTACATGGTAGGCTTTCTCCTCTTTGTCAACAGATCATGGCGCTGTCCCCCTCTGAGGAGGCCAATCACATGGAGTCGCTCACCATGGCCTGTGACATCACTCCTGCCGACCCCCACTCGTTCACCACAAGGATGGCGGGCTTTGAGGCTTCTTTGCCGGAAATGAGTAACCTACAGGTTTCCGAGGGTTCAAAGGTAAAGAGAATTTTGTCAATTCTGACCTGGTTTCCTTCAAAAGAAGTACTTAAAACTTTCTGAGAATTCGCTGGGGTGGGGAGGGATGAATGTAAGGGGACTGTCTCTGTTTTTTCTCCTGTCTCTTTCCTCGGTTGAATGTCCTCTCCTGTGCCCCTGCTGTGACGTCTCTAACCTACCAAGCAGACATCTTGTTCTGGGTGGAGAGAGACCTCACCAGAGGGTCATCTTCAAATGATACATTGCGCACTTGTCTCAGGAGCAGGAACTCCTGCTAATTTTATGGCAGAACGTATTAGTGCTTGTCTGAGATTGCTGTATTGGGAAAGTGGCTGTTCTCAATCATGACTTTTATAAAACAATATGCTAAGTGAGGTGTGGGAGTGTGCATGTCTTTGGGGAAATTTTTTCGTACATAAGAACCAATTATACAGTTTATGCATTGATTCTACGCTCTCCTGTTGGTATACGCTAGGAATTTTCCATGCCAATTGCTGTATTATGCTACATTTGCACAAAACTATCCCAGTCACACTTTCTGAAAGGAAAAGTACCTAACGGATATAATTTTCTTGTTTTAAAAAGTTGGCTTAATAAATAACAGATTGGCTTGCTCACAACACAGAGTGTCACCCATGAGTACTGGGCTCCTTTTAAAAAAAAAAAAAAAAAATCACCTCTAGTAGACCAAATGGTCAGTAATGACTTTAGAACAAAATGAGAAGGTAAGGGGGCAGGGAGACTAGATGAATGGAAACAGAACAACCAGAATAGAAATAATGAGTGTGTTCACACACTGTGAGGAATGTAACCAGTGTCCCTGAACAGTCTATAGAAACTGTTGAATGGAAACTTAAACTCCTGTGTAACTAAAAGTCAGTTTAAAAAGAGAAAGCCTAACACTATATATCTCATTTGATTTTATCAAAACGTCTAGGCATTATCCTGCCATAAAACTGCCCAGACCTCCACTGTATCCCACATCTATGCCTATCAGTATACAAATTCATTTTCTTATATCAGAACTCAAAGTAATCTATTACTGTTAGGATCGGGTAAAGTTCTCTTCACCCTGGGCTTTGTTTGCTTGTATAGTAAGTTGGAAGGAGAAGATCAAAAGCAAACCTACAGCCATTCAGTCAGTTCTGACTCACAGTGTCCCTAGAGGATAAAATAGAACTGCCCCATAGAGTTTCCAAGGCTGTCAATCTTTATGGAAGCAGACTGCCTCATCTTTCCCCACAGAGCAGCTGGTGGGTTCAAACAGCAACAGCACTGCACCACCAGTACTCCCTTTGAAAGAAAAGAGAAAGTAGCCAAAAAATTTATCTAAAAGTAATTTCCTTCTGATGCTTCTAATGAAATTGTGGGGTGACATCAAGAACATCATCCATGAAGAAAGCAAAAGGTCATTAAAAAGACAGGAAAGGAAGCAAAGACAAAAGTGGATGTTAGAGGAGACTCTGAAACTTGCCCTGGAACAGAGAGTAGCTAAAGCAAATGGAAGAATCAACATGATAAAAGAAGTGAACAGAAGATTTCAGAGAGCAGCTCAAGAAGACAAAGTCAATTATTATAATGAAATGTGCCAAGAGCTGGAGTTCCATCACGATAGATGAAGAAAAGATTGAAAGTGGACTATGCAAAGGCATTCAGTTGTGTGGATCATAACAAATTAAGGATAACACTGTGAAGAATGGGAATTCCAGAACACTTAATTGTACTCATGAGGAACCTGTGCATAGACCAGGAGGCTGTTGTTCAGACACAACAAGAGGATATGGTATGGTTTAAAGTCAGGAAGGGCATGCGTCAGGGTTGCATCCTTTCACCATATTTTTTCAACTTACATGCTGAGCAAATAATCCAAGGAGCTGGACTATATAAAGAAGAATATAAGGCATCAAGACTTGGGGAAGGCTTGTTAACAACCTGTGATATGCAGACGACACAAGTTTTCTTGCTGAAAGTGAGGATGACTTGAAGCACTTACTGATGAAGATTAAAAACTACAGTCTGCAGTATGGATTACACCTCAATATAAAGAAGACAAAAATCCTTACAACTGGACCAGTAAGCAGCATCACAATAGATGGAGAAAAGACTGAAGTTGTCAAAGACTTCTTATTACTTGGGTCTACAATTAACGCCAATGGAAGCAGCAGTCAGGGCATCCAAAGACATACTGCACTGGGCAAATCTGCTGCAGGAGACCTCTTTCAAGCACTGAAGAGCAGAGATGTTTCCTTGAAGACTAAGGTGCGCCTGACACAAGCCATGGTATTTTCAGTCACCTCAAATGCATGTGAGAGCTGGACAGTGAATGAGGAGGACAGAAGAAGAGTTGATGCTTTTGAGTTGTGGTATTGGCAAAGAATGCTGAAAAGTACCACTGCGGTGTAGTAAATTACTTACTATGGATTTTCTACCCATAAGTCTTTGTAAACTCCAAGGTGGGATTTTCTATGAGCAACTGAGGAGCTCCTGATTGCTGAAGTTGTCCACCTGGAGTATTTCTGTTGGGAGTGGGCACAAAACAATGTTCTGGGAGGTGCCCACTCTCTCTCAGGTACTTAGAGTTCTGATGCTATGATTGGCTAGTTTGACCACCCTGCCGGGCTCAAAAGGAGGCCTCCTAGAGGCAGAACTCTCTCTGACTGCTGGTTGAGGAAGACGTGCTGCCAAAAGAGACATGCGCCCCTGAAAGAGACACGTGCTGCTGGGAAAGAGACGCAAGAGACACGCATTGCTAAGTAAGACACCGAGGGACATGCACTACTGGGAGAGAGACTGTGAGAGACTGTTGGCTGAGGGACAGTGGGCTGGGAGAGAGACTGAGCGTTCTTCCTGAACTTGAATTGTAGCCTGGTGCTTCCCTAATAAACCCCATAATCTGTGAGTTCTGTGTGGCCACTGCAGTGAATTATCAAACCCAGGAGAGAGGTGGTGGGTGCTTTGGGAGGAATGGTTGGAGAAAGGGCTGGAGGGAGGCAGCACATCTGGCCTGGCAGGAATAGGCCTTGGGTTACTGCTGGTAATCCTGTCTTCCTCTTGTGGGATCAGAGGAGGTCAGAACATATGGCCTCCTTGCCATTTTTGCAACCATGCACAAAAAAACTACTAACAGATCTGTCCTGGAAGAAGTACAGCCAGGATGATCCTTCGAGGTGAGAATGGTCAGACTTCATCTCACCTACTTTGGTCATGTTGTCAGAAGGGACCATTCTCTGGAGAAGGATGTCAGGCTTGGTAAAGGAGGGTCGGTAAAAGAAAGGAAGTCCCTCAGTGAGATGGATAGACATGGTGGCTGCAGCTATGGGCTAAGGTATAGTAGGAATATTGAGGCTGGCTCAGGAACAGGCAGTGTTTTGTTCTGTTGTACATAAGGTCGCTGTGAGTCAGAGCTGACCTGACAGCACAGAATGACAACAACTTCTAATGGAAAAAAATACAACACTGGTTCTTTATTCTTTTACCCCAAAACTCAAACCCACTGCCACTGAATTTATTCCAACTCATAGCAACTCCCATAGGGTTTCCAGGGCAGTTAATCTTTATAGAAGCGGACTGCCTCATCTTTCTCCCATGCGGTAGCTCATGTGTTCGAACTGCTGACCATTTTGTTAGCAGATCAATGCTTTAACAACAGCACCACCAGAGTTCCTTTATTCTCTTACAGTGTTCTGCAAACAGCTCTGCAATCTTGGAAAATCTGTTTCATTTAAACATAAAGCAGAGACAACCGACCAAACTGCAATGATGTCGAAATGTTAAAGCTTTAGTAAACATAATTTTTAAGATTGTCCTCTTGCGACTTCTGGTAAGATGGTGGAATAAGAAGGCAAGTTATGCAGACCACTGCAACAAAGAAAAGAGAAAACAGTTGACACAGATACAGAAGATAATCCTGGAGCCCTGAGCTTTGAAAGAAAGGATACAGAAGTAGATTAAACATCAACTAGTAGAGGAGCCTAAGTGAAAACAGTGAGTAAGGAGACAAACAGAGCTGTGGAGTGTCAGCTATCCTGATGGCACAGACAGCCTGAATATTTTCAAATGGTGTTAGAACTTGAGAATTAACTTAAAAATCTGCCCAGCTCACCAAGGGTTGCATGGACTACTGCACAGGTAGCTGACAACTGGAAAGGGAAAAAGCAAAGGAGGAGACAAACTGAGTTGTGGACTTTCAGCTGTCCAAAGGCCACAACCATTTTGAATGTTTACAAGCAGGGCCCATTTTGTATATTTAAAGTGACAGCCTTCTTATTCAGATTCCAGGGACCTAAGAATAGGGTCAGCTTGCCGAAGACAGCATGGACATATAGGAGGCTGACGACTGGAAAGGAGACAGGTGGTGAGAGCATAAGTGCTGCCAACTAGTGAATAGAGGAACACAGTACCCTGCTTACTCAGATATATCCAAAGAAAATGAAATATAAACAAAGAATACCACAAAGCCTTGCAGACAACAGACCATCACAGTCCACATAAAGCAGGAGAAACAAGGGACAGAGATACAGATCCAGAACACATCCCTGAGGAAGAAGCAGCATTGGAACTCCCTGATAAGGAATTCAAAAGAATTATATTTAGGTACCTTCAAAGAACTGAGAGACAGATTGAGGAAAACACAGTGAAAATCCTAGAACAATTTTGGAAGACAATAAAAGAACAAAATGACAAAATAAATGAAAAATTATAAAGGATACAAAATCTACAGATAGAAATCCAGAAGATTAATACTAAATTATCAGAAATAGATAACACATTGGATGGGGAGAGGAGTAGAGTTAACTCAAAGGAAGACAGCATTAGTCACATTGAAGACAAATACCTGAATAGTTCTTTGGAAAGGGATCAATCAGAAAAAAAGACCAAAACAAAATGAAGAAAGCCTAAGATTCATGTGGAATACCATCACAAGGAATAACCTCATGTAATCGGAATTCCAGAACAGGAACAGACGAAAACACAGAGAAAACTGTCGACGATTTGTGGGA